AGTTTGCTGACCTATGGCAGGTCAAAGTCAGGCCATGGTTTCAGCGAAGGCAATTTCTAGTGAATCGTCCAATCCGATAACATAACGGAGTATTTGACTTGACCAAGCCATACATCTCTGAGATGCTTTCTTGCGCACTACAAATATCAAATGAGCGAATTACGTTAACCTAAGGTCAGGTATGAAGGTCACACCAAGGTAAAAAAACAACCAGATTTATAACTATTGGACTTGCTGTATGGGATAGTTTGTGGTGCTCATTTCGAATTTACTGACAGCAGGAACCGCATTATGCACTGACTTCTTAGGGGTCGGAACAGGTCATCTGTTCTGTTCAACAGTGTCTCTAGCATTCTTAGTTCCCGAGATCTCAGGGAGAGGCGTCAAATTGACCCCCCCCCCTTCCCCACCCGAGCAAAGGGTATATCGCCAGCCACCCGGGCGCGTGTTAAAAAAAACTGACAAAAACGAGTAGGATCATCGGCAGGCAATTTCGAATTCACTTCTGCTACTATTTCGATAAAGGTATGTTGCCGAAATATCAGCCCAGCCATATCTTCATTCTCCTCTTTGTTCCGAGGAATAGGACAAACACTACTGTCTTATCTATGTCAATAATGCTCCTCGCTAATGTAAGTAGCAACTTACGTAAAAACTTATGCTCTAACCGGACTGAAAACACACTGATTCTCAAAACTTGTTTAAAATCAAAAACCGTCTACAAGTGGTGCTCGCAGCCATCCTCATCTGAGAAAGAATGACTTACTTAAACAAATACCTTAGGGCATGCATCACTTTGGACCTATTGTGTCGCACAATGACAGCAGGGCAATTCAATGTCTTAAAGATGCCATGGTGTCAAACTGGCTGGAAAAGTGTTGTGCGTATGTATGCATGCGTTTTGTGTTTTGACCTGATACTCGGATGTTTTATCTGTGTACTGGAGGTACACTTTTAATTCCGTCTCACAGAGCATGCCGCGCATGAATAAAAGGGACTACTACATAACTGTTCGCCAGAACGTGAAAGCCGCCGCCATCTTGGAGCAGTCATGGAGCCGTCCGTGCGGGTTGCTTGGGTACTTTGGAGAGGGTCTGTATTTGATGTTGGTGGTAAATGCTTCGTTGTTTTGTGGCCTTAAGTGGATATATTTCGTGGCAGCGTGGCCTCTGCAAGCCAAAGATATACCAATTGGTCATGAATGTTTTCATGTTGTTGTAGTTAAGATGGTAGTGACGGGGCCAGTCGGAGGTGCCAACTAGGGAACCCTTTCAAGGGAAGACTTATCATCTAGTTGGGGTGAGTTCTTTTCAGATCTCTGGTTTTCCATAATCTCTTTCAACTCATGAACTGGGCTGTCTGACTTCCTGTATTTAGCTTTGCCAGCTGAGCACTTTTTCATGGTTGTACATTATTGCTATCGCTATTGCTAATTACTTCTTTCTGTTTCCCGATTTCAACAAAACTCTTTGCAACCACTCGCGCCGAAGCGAGGACTGCTTCAACAATTGCCCAGTTGCAGTTAAGATGCATTCTTTTTGAAGTAATGACTGAGGCCAAGTCCGTGCCACCGTTGCCGAAGACCTTCCGCCTAACCGCTGACCCAGGTCGGCACTGGATCAGCGGTCAGTGTGCTGAGCTAAAAATAGTCACTGCAGTCGATTCTGCCTAAGACACCATTAAACAAAAACAAGTGGCCAGTGCGACTTGCAGTGGCAAGAGTACGATAACATTCAGTCCTGATATATCGCATGTATTTGCTGCACCTTTACGAAACATGACAAGCTCATGCCGACATGAAACGAGAAGTGCTGCCCCTTCCGATAATATCATTACCTATCAAGGTTCAAACAGTCCTGAGGTTGAAGAATACAATGCCGCTAAACACCATACAACATAGCATAATTATGTTGGTATCTGGCCGTGATGTTCTATTCAAACCATTGGCTTACTTCTTGTCGCAGATGGTGGCGTAGTCGCCCTGGCAGAGGGCGTAGTTGATAACGTGGTGGATGACGTTCTCCTCGAGACTGCCGCGCAGCAGGTGGGCGCCGGGGCCGCGCGCGAAGATGCCCACGTCCTCACCGCCATGCGTCTCCTTCGGTAGGTAGATGCCGGCCACCTGCTTGTAGTGCGGGTCGCGCCACTCGGCCTCCGGCGACATGTCGGCGAGGCGAGCACGCTTGGCCTCGAACTCGGACCAGTCCTCGGAGCCACCCGGGCCGTTGGCGTACTGCATGATGGGGTAGGGCAGCTTGGGCGGCGGGCCACCCTTCTGCATGCCGCCGGCCAGGAACGAGGCAGGGCCGAACATGTCCAGGCCGCGCTCCGGGTAGCCGTTGATGGTAAAGGTGTGGGCGTGGTCAGAGGAGACAACGATGAGGGTGTCCTCAATGTCGGTGTGGTCCACAGCGTACTGGACAACCTCCTCCAGCTCCACGGTCTCGTCGATAGCCGTGTAGGCGTTGCCATAGTGATGGCCGTGATCGATCTTGGCACCCTCCACGAAGAGGACAAAGCCGTTGGGTCCACGCTTCAGGATCTCCAGGGCCTTCTTCACCATCTCGGTCAGGTTGACATCGTCGACGGTCTGGAAGGCGCGGTACTGCATGTGGCTGCGGCTGAACAGACCCAGCACGTAGTCGGCAGAGGCGGCATCGAAGCTGTTCAGCTCGGCCTTGGTGCTGATGTAGGCGTGGCTGCGTCCCAGAGACTCCTGCTTGTCCTTCCACTCCTGGATCAGGTCGCGACCATCCAGGCGGGCGCCGCCCTCGACCTCCTTAGGCGTGAACTTGCCCCAGCCGCCGCCAAAGGCAACATTGATATCGATGCCCTCACGCTCGACGAACTGTGTGGACAGGTCCTTCATGGCGTTCTTGCACGAGTCCTGGACGGGGCCGGTCATCCACTCCATGGCGGCGAAGTCGGCATCCGACTCCCAGGTGCGGTAGGCGGTGTGGCCGAAGGTGGCAGCGGGAGAGGCGTGCGTGATACGGGCGGTGGACACCAGGCCGACCCACTTACCGGCCTCCACTCCGTAGCGGAGGATCGACTTGGGCGAGGACGCCTCGTTGACGGCGTCGCAGTTCCAGATGAGAACGGAGCAGTCGACACCGACCGTGAGGAAGTTGCCCTTGGCACCGGTCAGGTAGGCGGTGGCGGTCGAGGCGGAGTCAGCCGTCCAGCGATCACAGTTGTAGGTCTTGGACAGGCCCAGATAAGGGAAGGTCTCCCAGGAGAGCATGGTGTGCTCGGGCACGTCGGCGCCATGCTGCAGACCCTTGCGCTTCCTGGCAGCGGCCAGCGTGGGGATGGACATGCCGTCGCCGATGAAGAGCACGGCGTTCCGGGCCTGGTGGTCGTACACGGGGTCGGCAAGTTTGGTCCGCAGGATGTCCTGGGCGATGTCCTTCCAGAACATCTGGTCCAGCACCTGTCCGGAGCGGGAGAGCGTGGTGGCGCGACTCGCACCCAGGCCGGCCTTCTCCTGCACCTCCTGGTATGTGGGCGCCCACATCTCGTGCATCTCCAGCTCATCCTGGTCCTCGACGCGGGAGTCGAGCGGCACGGCCACGGCCAGCGCCACCAGACAGGCGGCCACAAACAGCTTCATGGCGTCTCCGATGTTAGATGACACGGTCTCACTGTGCTCAGTGAGATTGTATCCCCACTCAGACCGCAGTCCGTTTTATACGAGTTGGCCATAATTGTGGGCACCTGTATGATCGGATCGATAGCACATAATTGCGTGATGGCTCAATAGGCTATGGTGGTTGGTATGGAAAGACACTGAACACTTGGCAGAGTTGTGGTGCACCTGATTTTGCCGTAATCTGTCGCAATCATTGCAGTACTGCTTTTCTGTCTAACCGCGACTACCTGTTGCACATGCTGGTGTTGCGTGACATTGGTCTGCTGCAGCTTGTACGAGTTGTTGGGTCAAATGATAATTTCTGTGTGACTGTGCGTTTGGGGTCGCAACAGACGCTATCCTGTTTGTTGCCGCTCATTTCTGCTGAGCGACAAAATAACAAAGCAGTTACCGAGCTGCCAATGACGGACATTCAATATATTTCTAAAGTCCTATCAATTGTGGGTAAGAACAGTACTTTTTAGTGCGCTGTCATTGCGGAAAAATATCTGGAATTGACATTGCTTCCGTTGGTATATTTTTTAAATGCTCGGTCAGCAATGCGGCCCGAAGCGAGCTAAAAACGTAGTCAGCTGCAGAAATGTATTGCAGAAGATCCCGTCCGGTCGGCAGGGATCGGTTTTAACGGCTCGGGTAAACGGCTCAGTCGACGAATTATCCTTCTGTAATGTCGGAAAGTGTGCAGAAGTTACTAATGGCAGGCTGTAGACGGCTTTCTCCAACCGGTTGTATTAGCACCGTCGCGGAACGGTGTCTCAAAAATATCTTCGAGGCATGGATCCAAAGCGCATGCGGAGGCAACGAAAACCTTTCCGTTGAAAGCAATTAGCCAACAACAATACTGAGCATCTCTGTTTAAATAGCGATCATTGAAAAAATATAAATGTAAAGCATGAAAAGATGGATCATTTCCGTCGACTCCGACATGGGCGGGCTTGGTCACGCGCTTACGAAGCTTGGACTCAACCCATAAGACATCATTGCAGTTCAACATTAGGTACCACTGATTGAAAGAACAGCTTAATACGTGTTTGGTAGTGTCCTTTCTTTACCCTTAGATCACTTAAAGACGACGAGGACGATATTGCCTGCATTAAAACATGCACTGATTACAGACCATTTTATAAGTATCACTTTGGTCTCTACATGACACCAAAAATCAAGACACCGAAAAGCCATGAAACCAGGGCATGTCCTCCATTCCATCGACGATCGAATGCCACCGCAGTCTTGATTATGAACACTTGCATCTGAGCGACCGCATGGCTGATTGTCCCCACTTGTGCGGTTAGCCGACGTCGGTATAAAAGCTGAGCTCAGCTAGCCAACAACATCGTCTGAGAGACAGACGACCAGCACCTCACGATGAAGCTGCTCGTGGCCGCCGGCCTGCTGGCCCTCGTGGCCTCCGTGCCCCTCGACTCCAGGGTCGAGGACCAGGACGAGCTGGAGATGCACGAGATGTGGGCACCCACCTACCAGGAAGTCCAGGCCAAAATGGGACTGGGGAGCAGCGCGTCCCTCTCCCGTTCCGGCCAGGTGCTGGATTCGGTCTTCTGGAAGAGCATGGCCCAGGACATTATCCAGACCAAGCTAAGCGACGAGGTGTACCACAAGCAGGCGAAGAACGCGATCCTGTTCATCGGTGACGGTATGTCTATCCATACACTAGCCGCCGCCCGGAAGCAGAAGGGTCTGCTGCACGGCGCCGACGTGCCCGAGCACACCATGCTCTCCTGGGAGATGTTCCCCTACACCGGTCTCTCCAAGACCTACAACTGCGACCGCTGGACGGCTGACTCCGCCTCGACCGCCACCGCCTACCTGACCGGCGCCAAGGGCAACTTCCTCACGGTCGGTGTCGACTGCTCCGTCCTCATCTGGAACTGCGACGCCGTCAACGAGGCGTCCTCGCCCAAGTCAATTCTCCGCTACGGAGTGGAGGCCGGTAAGTGGGTCGGTCTGGTGTCCACCGCCCGTATCACGCACGCCTCTCCCGCTGCCACCTTCGGTCACACCGCCTACCGTACCTGGGAGTCGGATGCCGACTTCGCCGCCATGGAGTGGATGACCGGCCCCGTCCAGGACTCGTGCAAGAACGCCATGAAGGACCTGTCCACACAGTTCGTCGAGCGTGAGGGCATCGATATCAATGTTGCCTTTGGCGGCGGCTGGGGCAAGTTCACGCCTAAGGAGGTCGAGGGCGGCGCCCGCCTGGATGGTCGCGACCTGATCCAGGAGTGGAAGGACAAGCAGGAGTCTCTGGGACGCAGCCACGCCTACATCAGCACCAAGGCCGAGCTGAACAGCTTCGACGCCGCCTCTGCCGACTATGTACTTGGTCTGTTCAGCCGCAGCCACATGCAGTACCGCGCCTTTCAGACCGCCGACGATGTCAACCTGACCGAGATGGTGAAGAAGGCCCTGGAGATCCTGAAGCGTGGACCCAACGGCTTTGTCCTCTTTGTGGAGGGCGCCAAGATCGATCACGGCCATCACTACGGCAACGCCTACACGGCTATCGACGAGACTGTGGAGCTGGAGGAGGTTGTCCAGTACGCTGTGGACCACACCGACATTGAGGACACCCTCATCGTTGTCTCCTCTGACCACGCTCACACCTTTACCATCAACGGCTACCCGGAGCGCGGCCTGGACATGTTCGGCCCTGCCTCGTTCCTGGCCGGCGGCATGCAGAAGGGTGGCCCGCCGCCCAAGCTGCCCTACTCGATCCTGCAGTACGCCAACGGTCCGGGCGGCGCTCGGACCAAGGAAGAGCTCGATGCCAAGCGCTCGGGTCTCATGCAGACCGGCCCGGACGCCGAGTGGCGCGACCCGCACTACAAGCAGGTGGCCGGTATTTACCTGCCGAAGGAGACGCACGGTGGAGATGATGTCGGTATCTTCGCTCGCGGCCCGGGCGCCCACCTGCTGCGCGGCAGTGTGGAGGAGAACTACATCCACCACGTCATCAACTGGGCCCTCTGCCAGGGTGACTACCTCACCGTTTGCGACGAGTAAACATCAGCAGCGGCCTCAGCCAGATTTGCCAGTGTTTTTTCCCCGGGCATTGTAACCTTTCCGTCTGTGTCATTATTTTTTCCAAATCGTGGTGGTAATGAATACATGTCCGACAACAGAAAAGATTCTGTTCCTCTGTCAAGCAATGCCCTTTGGTTTTTGCTTTGACCTGTGTGACAACTTTGAAAACTTGCCCAACGGCTGGAAGAGAATCAAGCATGATCGCTCTCGAATAGGCCTCGGGCAGCAACCTGTACCTCGGCGATATTGCTGGGGCAGTAGCGACATCATAGAGGGCAGCGTTTGTTGGCATACTGCTGAAAGCCGCGCATGCTATTACGCTGATTTTTGTTTGTGTGTGAGCTGCTTACGAACCTATTCAGAGCTTGATGTAAGCCTGCATCATGCAAACACTACATCACACCACCCGAGCCACACTTTACAGAGGCCACACTTTACTTGCGAAAGTCTGTGGCTGGCAGATTTCCGCAAGTTGAACCCTGTTACAACGTTGAACCTAATGGGTGAACCCTACGGCACTTGTCCTACGAACGCCAGGTAAAAAGGTAGTCGCGCCAATGCCTGGCGCGAGTGAGGCGGAGCCATCCGGGCCAGCGGTCATCATCAGCGGTGGGTCCACGCTCCACAGGCTTTCTGAATGGGAGGCGCCTGCACACATCGCATACGGCTGCAGCCGACCATCGCGGCGTTCTAGAGCGCCAGGAAGACAGGAAGATAGCGGCCCCACCACCGCTCGGTGGGAGCACGGCTGACCGCCCGCACAGGCGGCGGTCGTAGAGGTCGGCGGCGCGGGATTTCTCCATTCAGATAAATCGTTGAACAGCAAAATACAAGACATGGAGGTTTTAGGATCGCTGACATATGAGCCTATCTCGCAAAGGCCTTTAAGATCGGTCAGCTTTAATTTTTGCGTCCGCGATCTTACACTCACGTCTCGTCCCATGTGTTGCGATGGCTCTCTCAGGGCGAGTCTATATTTCATGAACGTTCCAATATGGCGACCGGCTTTACCTACCAGCAAGCGGACCATGTCATTCAGTTCTCCCGTCTAGTCCTGTATGCTACTGGAAGGGACAAAATATATTGAGGAATCAGAATGGCCGACTCCATCACCAAAACACGCCTCATGACCATCAACTGAAGTAGCAAGCCGAAACAGTCAGTTTATCACCAGAAGGCTGAGTCATCACCATTGTCGCCAGTTAAAATCTGGCAAAGAAAACCGACCAAACATCAGGGCTAAAACCTCCGATTACGGGTGGAAGGGCAACTACCAAGCTGAATTAAATTCAGGGGCCCTAAAGAGCCTCTGTTAGCTACTAGAGTCCCTGACTAACTAAGGCCCTTCTATTGTCCCATTGCGGATCATCCATGGTCTCATTCCTCCTGCGTTGTCAGCGTCCTCCTGCGTCCTCCTGCGTTGTCAACCCTCCGCTTCCTTCGTCCATCCTTATCCCAGTCCTACCCTGCCAGAGGCCCAAGCCCAATTTTTTTAACGGTATCGAACAGTGCCTATTACTGGATTGTAGGTATTCATTTTTCTAGCCAGCTTTTCATGCCCCTTTCCGAAATGTTGTTCTGTTTCGACACTGCTTCTTCCTCAGGCATCTGACGTCACGCAAATCAGGGCGCCACAGGTAAAGGATGTCCCGTTGTCCCGTTGGTTAGGGCGCCGGCCTTCCATTCAACCATACGTGGCGTGGTGGGCTCGAGTCCTTCTAGGCTTTTGCTAGTGACTTCTGATTGGACTGGCCTGTGGCAGGCGGCGGTGGCTGCGCTTCTGGTGAGGTGACGGCAGAGGGAAGGTGAAATATAACAATCAATACGGGGCGTTAAACTTTTCTTGCAGACTTTTGCCCTGAACCGAAATTTTACGATCGGGCCAGCACTCATGAAACAAGCACCGCTTATACTGAGAGCTCATCCTAGAAACTCATTAAAAAAAGGTTTGCACTATTTCTTTGATTCCAGAAATGTGGCCGCCTCATCCACACTGCATTGCACATTCGCGCACTCTATGACTGCTAACTAACTAGTCAATATATCCTAAACATGATGATCGACGTGTATCCATCCATCCATCCAACGCCATCGCAACAAGCCTCGACTTGTTTGCAATCCACTACCAAATGACACCGACAGTCGAGAACATCCTCATCTACCGGCTCAGCAGTGTACCCTCGTGTAACGCCAGATTGCTCCCATGCGCAGGACGACGAGCAGAACGGCTCGAATGGTCAGCTAATGGGTCGAAGCAACCGATGACGGAGGCCGAGCAACATTAGTGGTGCCCGACTGTATACCATGCGGCGGGAAATGACATCACGGTCCCAGGCGTCGCCCTCTCATCTATGAGGGCTTTGCACCGTACCCTAGCGCACACAGGTGAAGGTGTTTTGTGGACCTTATGAACTGTGAACATTATGAACTAGGGGCCTAGCGAACTGTGGACAATGTGATCTGTGGACATTATGAACTGTGAACAGACCATTTTTTCTTTCTTTTAAGTTCTGAACTAGGAATAATTGGGTGAGACACTGCATGATTTCTTACGTACAGTAAGTCTCCGTGCCAGGTGTGATGCTCGCTCGGATCCGATGCCAAGGAGGCCAACCCAATGCTGGGCAGGGGGGGGGGGGAGGAGAACCGATGCCCGGGCTGGGGCTGGGTTAAGGTTGGCAAGACTTATCTGAGGGGCCAAATATTTTCAAAGACTTAGTCAGAGCCCTGTGGTTGAATGGACTTGGAGGATCAGGGGCCCCGGTAAGCAGCGTTTGTTGCATAAATTCTGACCCCTACCATCCAATCGTGAAATTCCAGGTCAACGGCAGAATGTGGCGGCAAAAGCTCATCGTGCCACAATGCTCGGCACGGTCCGTTCTTCACTCTGGCGTCACCTGACCTTTAGCGGGGTCTCTGCCACCGGCCGCAAGCCGTCCCAGTCAAGTGGAAACAGCATGCGCATTAGGCGACTCGAACCGCTCCGCCGCGGGTGGGTAGATCGGTGTCACATTGGAGCTGGGGCAATAACTCCTACCGAGAGGCGTGACACGACATCAGTTATACGCGACATGATTTCTACTGGAAAAACTCATACAAACTTTACATATACGTCACATTACCTTCGGCAAATACTTAGACACGACATGAGTGCTACACGACAAAATATAGGCTTCAGAATATTATATACTCTATTGCTTTTGCTGCAAGAGCTTATACATGTCATTATATCCACTGCAAAAATCTATAGTCTTTACTTATACGTGGCATTACTTCTAGTGCAAAAACTCGCGTACAACATGAATGGTACACGACAAAACTTACGCTGCAAAAACTTACCCGTCATTACTTCTGCATCAAGACTCGGCCATAAGTTTTTGCTGAGGCACCAATGTCGCGTGCAAGCCGTTGCAGTAGAGACAATGCCGCGCATAAGCAATGGCTGCATCCGTTTTTGCAGTAGAGGCATACGAGTGTGCGGGTATACGTTTTTGAAGCACTCGTTTTGCCGTGTAGCACTGATGTTCCGTGTAAGTCTTTGGAGCAGAAGTAAAGTCTTGTGTAAGGAATGACGTCATACGTCTTTGCAGTAAAAGTAACGACGGAAATACATTTTTGTCGTGCCAGATTTTCGTGTCATATCAGTGCCATATACATATTGTCGTGCAGCACTAATGTCATGTGGAAGTAATGTTTGCATAAGTGTTTGCAGTAGAGGCAATGGTAAATAAAACCCTTTGCAAGAGAGGTTTTGTCGCGTGACACGTCTGTCGTGTGCGGGTATTGGCAGCAGAGGTAATGTAGCACTCCTGTCGGTAGCAGTTTTTGTTGTAGCACTAATGTCGTTGAGCCGGGTAGATCAAAGGCAGGCGCTCTAAACAACTGATCTATCGGAACCACCGTCGCAGTTGGATCGTCACCAGCTCCAGGGGCAAGCTCTTGTCCAAACCCACATCAAGGTTGACTTTGCCAGACAAGTGTTTCTGCTAGAGACGCGTGCACGTGCCTGTTACTCAAACTCATATCAGGGCGTTTTTTCGCAACCAATAGCCAAAAGTCAAGGGCGCCATGGCGCCGAAAGCGACGACCCGACTGTCGTATTTCCAATAAATGCACGTACTCCGAAGGGTACCGAAAGTGTAGTGGTTAAGCTGCACATTTGGGAATCCAAACTCGCGGGGTTCAATTCCACGCGGTGCCCATTCTTTCCGCCATGATGAGAAGCAGACGTGGCCATGTAGCCTCAGCAGCTGAGTACGTCGTAAGTAACAATGTCAATATATATCCGTAGTGTGCCGCCAAGACCGTGCCGAAGGTTTACTAAGATCACTGGGCGTTGTTCTCCATTTGTACGCCGAAATTACACGTTCGTGAAAAAGAGCAGTTAGATTGCGAGTTCACAAAAGTTCCTTTACGATTTACAAATTGTAGCGGACGCCATGCTTCAATTGCCCAGGCAGGCTTCCCTCCCACGCCATGTCATGAAAGCCGAGAGCGCATTTTGAATCAACGTTGGCGAATAACACCAGATTTGGAGAGACAAACGGCTACCTGACGTAAGTACGACGCGACTAGACGCCTCGCCCCCTCCCCCCGAACATGCACACACACACAATATATATCACTCTTCATAGCACATACCCGGTGAGCAAACAACTAACGTGTTCGATTTTTGCTCAGATGGCCCCGATCCTTCTTATATAGGTTGCATAGCGATGCTCCACATATAGTAAGACCATACGCCGCGCTAGTCGAGAATGGATACTACCAGCTCTCAAGCAGCCACACGCTCCGTGCCTGCCGGAGCTCCCATGGCTGGCCGCCGTGACCTGCTGCGCATTCCCGTCGAGGCGCCTGACCTCGAGAGTGCGGCCGGGCTAGCCGTGTCGCCTCTCAGGGGCCACTATCTGCCCGGCGCGGCTCGCTGTCGAGGGAATCCCGCACCTGGCGTGGCCGGCCCCCAGTCTCCTGCCTCATGTGAACGCAAAGGTGCCGACACACCCTCACCTGCTCCCGTGCACGTCTGCGAACCGAATCTGCACCGCGAGGGAGTCAGGAGGCCTTCGCGGGTACGACTTCCTTCACTCAAACCAACCGCTACC